CCCCACTGACTGGCAGCCTCCCTCTTTGCTTTGTTGAGGGGAGAAACAATCCTGCCCCTGTCTACAAAAAAAATCTTTCCAGTCAGTGCACTGGGAAACTTAAGATCCTCTTTTCTCTTTGGCATCTAATCTGCATTCCAGTTCCTGAGATGAGAATTGGGAACTCAGCACTCCTGTGTTGCTGTGCAGTCTGCAGCAAGGTGTATGTTTAAGTCTTCGTTTTTTTTTTTTTCTTTCTTTTCTTTCTGGGTAAACCTGTCTGGTGTGGGAGAATACTTAGATTCAGAATGGAGCAAAGTCAGCATACGTATTTACCTCACCACCAAAGTTGTTGGTGGGCAATGTGTCATTCCCGGTTCTTCCAGTGAAGGTCGAGGTCTAAGGATATTTTTAGGATGAAAGCTGGGAGGCCACTGCTGCATTTGTTTAATCAAAATTTGTTTTGCCTATCAGCTTAGGTTGGTCTAGCCTTTTTAGCCACAGGGACTGGACTGAGCTTCTGGGATAGCTCTTGTGGGTTGATACTCCTTTACAGCCCAAGCAAGGAAGGCAAGCAGCCTTCCTCCTCGGCAAGACAAGCCTGGTTGTGTCTGCAAGGGGAGTGGGAACATAGAGAGACCACTCCTGCCTACTGCAGGAGGGTGAGAAAGCTTGAGGAGCGTTGAATGCTGTCTGTCAGATTACAGTGCATAGGAGGAGGTGTTTGGGGAAGCAGTTTCTCCCCAACCAGCCTTACTCATGCCTTCTCTGAGAAGGGAAGAAGTGACAGGCTACATGAAGTTGTCTTGTGGACTGGAACGGACTGGTAGGTTACCTGTTGGATCTTGCTGACTTGACTGATGAAGTAACAAACAGCTGTAAATGCACTTGCTAATGGATTTAGTCTGTGCCTTTGTGGGCTGCTCTAGGAAAGGTTGGTTTGGGCCCCTTAAACTACAACCTGTAATTTACTTACTTTTAAAGAATATGGAGCTCGAAAAGTCAGGTTTATCACCATTCTGCACAACTTCTCTGCCTGAGCAGGTGGAGATTTGTGAAGGCATCTGAAATTAGGAGGTATACACAAAGCTGAAAGCCTGCTTTAAGATGTTGTTGGAAATGTTGGATACAGTGGTCTTCTGAGGTGATGATGTCAATGATGATTTTATTACTGCTATTGCCAGGTTTGTGTTCAGGTTAATTCTTTGACCTTTCCATAGGTGCAGCAAATAGAACAGGAATAGCATAAGCAGTTTCAGACTGTCTGCCTCGGGTTAAACATTTCTTAAAGCATTCCTGAGACTTGGACATTTATAAAGCTGGTTAAGATACTATTACCTGAGACATGACCTCTTTATATTGGCTCACTTATGAGGTACACTTGCCATAGTTTGCCTGCCAGATTTTAAAATTGCATATATATATTCATTTCAGGTGGGTTTAGACAGATCAGAGATACAAAGAAAAGGAAGGAATTTTTTTGTGCCCTTTCAATAGTACATTCCTATAATCATAATCTGCCAGGATTAGAGGAGCAGAGGGATGAAAATTAATTTAAGAGTCAAGACAGAAGTTGAAAGAGGAAGGAACATGTAATTTTATATTAATGACTATTTAACTTAAATGCCTAATATAACTTTCCTTAAAATTTTACATTTTAACATGGTCCTAATTCTTAAGGAAGGTGCAAGTGATAATGACAAATATATTCAAGCGATCTTCAGCTTTTTTCCTTATACTGGGAGAATTTTACTTTTGTCTACTGATCTGTTATCTATGGTTTTAACAAAAGAAAAGTGTTGTTTTGAGTTCCCAAGTTATAGGTAAACTAAGTTAACAATGAATCACAATGTAAATAATGTTTTTGTTCTATAAATAGGTACACATCTCTTCGTAGCTATTCATGACGAACACTGCGTTCTAAGTACTGGCAAACAGTGTGAATGCCTGTCTATTTAATTCAGTATTGTGCATATTTTAATTATGAACTTCATTTTTATTTCTGCCATTCAGAAGAACAGCTCTGTAATTCACTGATAAATTTAATTAGTCACATCTTGGTTGACAGTTTCCTTTTATATACATATAAACTTACACATGCTCATTTCAGTGAGGTGGAAATATTCCTCTTATATTTTTACATGTGGGCCTGCTATGAAGCTCCATGAGAACGACCAGAGATCTACAAAATCCCACTTCACCAGGAAATACTTAAGAGCCGTGTTGTTTAACTCGGACACAGAAAGCAGAGGGAGTGACAAATCATAAATACCTATATAGCAGGCAAAATTCTACTGGAGAGGCATCTGTTAAAAAAAGTGCAAGTTGCACGAAATGAAAAACATCTTTTTTGGAAGGAGAGGAGACTTCTTTTTTAATGAAAGAGTTATTGGTGTATCATACCACTGGCAGCAGTGGAATCTCTTTGTTGGCAGTCACTGAGGGAACATCCCATTTTGATTTAAAGATTTTTTTTTTTTTTTTTTTTTTCCCCTGCTTCAAACAAATTCCTGTGGTGGGTTCCCATGGTTAATGCTGCACAGGAGTGTAGCAGACCAAGTAATTTGCAGCCAGCCCAGCAGGGCTGGTTTATAAACCACAGCCTTTTCTGTGTGGGGTTTTTTTTCCCCCCCTGTTTTTATTTTTCTGTTACATCAAGGTGCTGTGGTTTTCTTTGACTCAGACTTTGTTCAGCATATATTCACTGCCTGTTGAGCTTACCTTTCGCTTTTTTGTGTAAAAGTTCAAACAACTAATAAGCAACTTGTCGTTAGATATTTGTTTTTAACCTTCTGAGCGCTTAAGTGCTCAGTTGCTTCCTTTAAATGCTTTTAAGTGATTCCACTAACTGTGGTGCTCTTACCTCCTGGTAGCTAGCGTTGTTCTCTCCAAGCTTTGCCTCAGAGCTTTCTCCCTTACTTTATCAGTATAGAGGAAACTGGCAAAAACAACTTAAACGTCTTCAAGTTTTCCAATATTGAAGGACTGATCTGTGCTTTACGCAAGCAGTTCTCCACTCTGACTTGTGAGAATCCTTGCAGTCAGCAAGGAGAGATCCTTCAGTCCTCAGGCGCTTCTGCTGTGTCCCAGGGAAACTGTTTCTGGTGCTTGATCCAATTATAAATCCAAAGTACTGTTTCAGCCACTAAGAATTTCCAGGAAAGTTTTGGGAGCCTGACAAAATTTGAAAAACCTGAGTATCCTAAAAACTGCCCTGGAGACTCCTGGCAACTGCTTGAGTAGTTAGGCTGTATGTGCACGGGCTGCCAGGTGGGCTAAATCCTTCCTAGAAACAGTTCAGCTCCAGTTTGGGGCATTTGACTGCCCTGGCTCTCTTTTGGTGGGAGCGGTTCTCCAGCTACCAAGAACATTCCCAAAGTCTTGGGATAAACTCTTCAGGAAATCTCTTTGCTGGGCTGGAGGTGTGGCAGAAGTTGCTGCTTTGTCCTTCCCCCACCCCCCAGCTCAACGCGAGGGTCTCCTGTATTGTGGTTAGCCCAGTGCTGCTCTACGCTTTTGAAAGACAAAATTGTCAGGTTTCCTTTTTTGTTTTTCTCTCACCGAGGGTGCACTGAAGTGTTTTTGACAAAATGAGAAATGGATGCAGAAAGAAAAAGTTTGGGCCATAAGAACAAGTGCTCTGAAGTTAGGAAGTTAGCTGTTGTATGGATGACTGTGAAACATGCAGTTTGGCCCAGACTTGCCACATATTTGGGTTTCCAGTGAGCTACACAGGCTAGCATGCTGCCGTGGCTGCTTAAAAATCTGGGTTGCTCTGGTTACAGTGAATTGGCAGGATGACTCCCACAATAATCCCTGCATAGCTCCAGGGCTGGGTGGGAGCAGACAGTGCTGTTCAGGTTTGTGTAGTGCCAGATCTTTAATACATTCCTCTTGTGTTTTATGATAAGAGCTTTTCAGAAGTGTTCCAGAAGGCTGGTTTAAGCCTGCAGTGTTTTATCTGAAACTTTTCACATTTGAAGGTGGGGGTGGCTTCTGAAGAGAGAAGGAAGCCTCTTGGAGAGAGAGGAGGCTCTAAGGTGGGCTTCCAGGGAGCTCTGCCTGGACTCCTGGCAGCTCAGCCTCTAGGCTGTGGTAAGCAGAGTCCTGGGCACTGCCTTAGGACTGAGACCAAAAGGATCCCACCTGCTCCTCCACACCTCCGCCGCTCTTGCCATCTTTTCCATGCTGCTGTTGCGTTCAAGAGGTTCCATCCAACCTCTACTGAAATTTCAAACATTTTTTAAAAATTTTAAGTCTTGTTTGCACCAAAACCAAACACAACCCTGCTCCATCTCTGGTGAAATTTCATGTGGACTAGAAACTGTGTTTGCTGGCCGGATATAAGAAGCTAGTGTTTTCTGTCTTGTAATAGCATATTGTGTCATTTTTGTTGCTCTTCAGTATGGCTATGAGGCCACTTATCATAAAAGCACTGGTGGCTGCTTACCTGGTCAACTAAACCTCTTGTTTCTTAACTTTACACCTCTTGATTTTACAACCTAGGTTAACTTAAGGTTTTCTTCATGTGATGAAATATAAATATTTGGAAATGTATTTATTAATGCCTTAATGGCTTTAGCTGTGTGTCAAAAGCTTATTATTTGCTACTCAGTTGTGTGTAGTGTTTCTTGTTGCAGTACTTTTTGTCCCCCCAAATGAAACTCACCTGGCCTGTGTCTTATCCTGGTTTTCAGTCACTGAGACTGTCAGCCTGATCTGCAAGACTGGCACAAGTAAACCAATTGCAGTTTGGCTGCAGCTTGTAAATTTCTGAAATTGCTGCATTTGTTTTAAATTTATTTTTCCTGACAGTAGACTGAAATAAGGGACAGAAATTTTGAAAGCTTGAGTGAAGAGATGTGATGTTTTTGAATTAGGACTTAAGACTCCTAACTTGCATGCTTCTCCTTTATTTTATCCCCAAGCTTGCTTGCTTTTTTCTTTTTATTGCTGATGCTGAAGTGACTTGTTAGTCTGGCTACAGAACCCTAACCCATGCTTTTTTTTTTTTCCTTTAGGCACTCAGTGTTACTGAAACGCTGATCAAACCTTTGGAAAGATTTAGAAAAGAGCAGCTAGGAGCTGTAAAGGTTTGTCCCTCATTGCCTTTATGATCTTTGTCTAATTTCTCTACTTGGATTGCATTGCAGTAATGATATGTATTTGGCAGAGAGACACTGTTGTCTATATTTCATGCATTCCCACTTTTTTTTTCCCCCTACTTCGAGAACTTGCTTCAGAAACAAATGGAAAATGTTTCAAGAAGAGAAGAATGTGTCTCTTCCCTTCTTTCTCTCCTCCTCCTCCCTTATCTCTTGTGTCTGGAATAGGACCAATCCTGCTAACAGCCTGCCCCCCTTCCTAATGGGTAACCCTGTTCTGCTTTGTATTTGCTTGCAGTTGCACAATCAAAGGCTGAAAAATATTAACTATCCAAAGGAGGTCATCCATATGCTTTTAACTATATTTTTACAACATGCAAAGTGAAAATTGCATTTGTTTTACATTTTGTTTTAATTAAATAACTCATTGCCTCTGTATGAGTGGAAGAAAATGGAGATGGAGAGGCTGAAGACAGGATCTTACTCAAAGTTAGGTGTTGGTTGGTTTGTTTTGTTTTTGTTTTTTCCTTGGTGAAAACATTTCAGTAATTTTTTTTTTAAGATTGTCACTATATTGTGTATATTTAAAAAAAAAAGCAATGTAAACTTCATATATTAAACACAGGCTAGCTTTGGATAAAAGTAACAAGGACAAGTTTTACCTCTTATACATGTCTACCTTCCTTCTACCAGCAAGAAATTTAAATGCTTATTCAAAGGAAAAAAACCCAAACAGGTATTTAACACAGTTTTCTGTTGCAAAACTCAGTTCATACATTTTTAAACTACCATTCTGCAGGTGTTTTATGTTATAACTTTATTACTTCATCAGCAGTAATATTTAATAGCTAAGGTAATGTTTCAATTATGCGAGCACTATACATTTTGACTTAATCAGGAATGATTAACATGTTTTGAATATGATTTCAGTGTTCATGAATGGAAGATGCTGTGTTGATCATAAATCATTACAGTTCAATAGTACAATGAGCTTTGTGTAATTTTATGGACTTCTGAGAAGTACATCAGACATCTCAACCAACATACAATAAAACCTTGGTCTGTAATATAGGGAGTCTTCTAAGGAAAAAGATAATTTGTTCTAAATGTAGCCTGTTGTCATAGAAGCAGCTGTAATGAATGGATTATTTCAACAGTAATTTTGGTGTTAAAGAAAGTCCACATTTTGGGGTGAGAACTGCTAATGCTTTAAATTATCTCATGATCTTCACTCGTTTACCAGTCAGAATTCTGTCTCCAGTGTTTGCAACATGACAAGTCACATTCACACAGTCTGCATCATGTATTTTGTTTGTATGGATGTTTCTTGTGTCTCCCTGTACACTGTTTCTGTGACGCTGAAGCTCTTATTTGTGATTCAGCCTTTTTTTTTTTTTGACAGAATTATCAGTGACCTAAAATAGAACAGTCATGTAAAATTTAAATGAAAGTCCTCTAAAAATATTTAACTCTCTGAATATTCTTCATTTAATGTTTATCCAATGCAATCAAAATACTGACACTAAAAATATAATACTGCTTAGCTCTGAAAACCAAGTTATGGCATCTAGTAGTGACATATGTCTGGAACATTGTGCAGTGTTTGCTTTAGGAAAAATTTATGCTCTACCATTACAAAATAAAAGTTGAATCTGCTGCCTGAGATTTTCCTGCATCTTACATCCCCTGCTGATGAAATGGTCTGAGTTAAGCTTAAGAAGAAAAAGAAAAGGAAAAAAAAAAATTAGCTCTGTAGTGCTGGAAGCTGAGACCTTTATTGAATTACGCCTTAGTAATCCTAAACTACACATGTAAAGTTTCTGGCTTTGCCTGTTTAGAAGTCAGTACCTCTTTCTGTTTCTGGCAGCTCTCAAATATTGACCACATCAATGGAAATTTTGCTAATATAAACGCAAAGATTTGCTGCCATCA